AAAAATTGCAATTTTTTTAAACCCCCAGCAAATATTGTGCCGTTATTTCTAGGGTTTAAATTATTAAACCGAGTAAAAAAATGGCTAACCAAGGCAACCACTATTTTCATGATTGAAATATACAAGGTTATCGCACATATTGCACCCCTTCTTCATCACATATTCGACGATAAAAATAAATATGTCAGCATAAAGGGAGAGCCAATCAAAATCAAATATATAAGTATACAGTCAAATATACATATAGGTGTAGTAAATTGATGCCCCCTTACGCTGCTATTTCAACCGTGGCTATATCCCAATGTCCAGTCCATAAATCCATGTCTTTATTATTAGGTACACACATTTTAAAATTTTGAGTACATACACCAAGCTATGAGCGGCGATACAACAACAAACCGCGGCTTGGCTTATACCTACTACCGCCTAAAGAACAGTGTGCAATATTAATATTATGAACGGAGATTAATTAGCACCGAAGCAGCAACACATTTTGTGGTTGCAACATAACAACGGAGTGCTATAGACGATATTCCGATAAACTTCACGAAAATACTTCAGACTTTACCAGAACAGTCGCCAGGCATATAAATTACAAGTACCTAACTAAACGTTATCTCGGCGTTCGTTGATTTTGGGCAAATATCGAACACGTGTTGTGTGCGAGCTAGACGAAACGTACACACAACGCTCGCGCATACAAACGGGGCGCAACAATCGATGCAGTAAATAATATAAAATACTACGATTTTTGAAACAATGAAAATGTAAATCTACGGTTAAATTCGTACACACGACGACGGGACACACACAATAACGGGAAAAGGGCGACTGGCTAGGACCATCTGTCGACAGTCTCGGGTCGAGAAACCCAACCCGAACGCACATACCTGCGACTACCAACACAGTTTATTTTTCAAAAAAAGGGACCCCCGAATACGAAAGCAGACAATAATAAGATACGACCATAGAAATACACTGGCGTGATCGATACCATCAATTGGTCGTGCACGGAGAAGTGCTGCTGTTCCGGGGGGCAACGGCAAACGTCGACCGTCATCACGAACGAGCGTGATAAGCGTTATCACAGTACACAGGCTGTTGTTGTGCGAGGAGCCGTTATGGCGTTATCGGACTCATCGATGCCATAGTGGCGGTGTCTAGCTGAACGCGCTGCGGCGGCCGCGACCGGTCTCGAGGGAAGAGGGCGAGACGGCGTCCTTCCACAGGTTGCACGGAAGAACCCAGACAAATCGACCGACAGGAGAGAACAATATCGACCGACCGACCGGCGGCGTCTACTCTTCTATAAATACAGTCGACGGAGGCACTTTGTCCGGATGCCAAAAATATTAGCGAAAATAATAGTGTCCCAAATTGTCCGACCACTTAGTTGGCGGTTTAAGGGTTAAAACAAAAATCTATATTATCTTAGATAATATAAAACAACAATTAAAAGTACCCAGCTGATTTTCCGGGATCGCTTCTGTTTGTTCAAACTGACCTTAGACATGGCGGACTGAGCGCGGTCACACACGGCGGCGACTATGACTGCTGGAGATGTTTCGCGCGACACGCGTTGTTGGCGGTTAGATCGGCGGTCACGAAAATAAAAACTATTAATTATTATTACGTATATATAATATACATAGGATATTAAATAATTTACGTATATTATATATACATAATATTATTAAGCGTATAGGATAGCGGTGTTCCGCACATTTTTTCCACGGTTAAGCAAAAACAAAAAAACCGAACGCGATCGACGGTTGTGTATTTTTTTTTTGAATGATAACAAAATGTGACAATTATTTTGTTTTCCGCAAAATGTGCGTGGTTGTAGCACGGCGCGGGCTACTCGCACGTCAAGAAACCATGGTCGACTGGCGAGTGGCGACCGAGACGACGGCGGCGATAACGATAAAGGGGAACCGTTGGTGAACGGCGGCGGCGTAGACGGTTGTCGTTCGACACGCGCAGCGCGTATGTGTGTGTCCGTGTACGTATGTACAGTGCGTGCGTGCGGGCGACACAAAAACCGCTGGGGCACATGAATCGGGCGGCGACGGCTACTGATCAGCTCTCGCAAAGTCGCGCGCGCTTGTGCGTGTGTGCGTGTACGTGTGTGTGTGTTGTGCGCGAGCATCCAGTTCGCGCCGTGTCACGACCGGTGTATGCAACAGCAATCGCACTCGGGTGTTTTACGGGGTGGCGCGACGAGTTACCACTGCCGTCGATCGGAACCGAAGGCGGCGGCGACGAGCGCAACAGCCATATTATCGATGACGTCACGAGAATCGCGTGGCCGCCGCTTTATCTCGAATTAGTATGTTTATTAATTATTTGTTGGTTTTCTTTTGGGTTTTTATTATTTCTTTGCGGTAGTGAAAACATTTCAACACCGATACATAAATAAACCAATAATAAAACCCGTCACAGTTCTCTATTATCGATAGATATTGTATTTTTAAAAATAAATCCCATAGAAAGACTAGGCTTCTATTGTCCTGTTGTAGTGCACCATCCATATCATAATACTATACATAGTAGTATTATTAATACGCTATTCTCAATAGCCTGAAATAAATTTAATAATTACATAATATTATTATTTCATGATAATTTATTGATTCATTGATATTAAATTTTTAAATATAATTCGAAATAAAATGTGTAAATTGTTAATTGTAATGCACCTTGGGTATAATCAATAATCTTAAAAAAAATGGTATTGTCGGTTACAGTTCAGGTCAACTTATTAAAATCGTTTAGTTATTGTTTTTTTTTATTTCCTCTGTTGACCGGCCATTGTGTATAATTTAGACAGTTCATTTTTTATGTGAGTAGCTATTGTACATGACTCAAGAAACCAAGAGTGATAATTGCAAATTTGAAAAAAATACCTAACTCATGAGATTTTGTTTTATAATAAAAACAACGTTCTCTGGAAATAAATTAATAATAACGGTTGATTATTTATATCACTGTTGCTAGTTGATTGAGATAACATATCGTAGTGCATTACTTCCTATATGAAAACTATTTAACAAATCATATAATTGATTAAGTACACTAGATTTGATTTAAAACATGGACACTTATACACCATCTTGGCTTATCTTTCCTTATTATTACTCATAATAATCTTTACATCATGTCTTTTTGTTTTTAACCTAAAATAACATGATCGTTAGCATACACTTATAACGTGTGAATTAATATTATTTTACAATTTTTATTTATAATATTAACCCTTTCAAACCTGACTTTTTTTGAGCAGTTAAAACATTTTTTTTTAATGAATTTTTGTACTATCAAAATGAAAAAAAAACAACCAATCCTTATTCCTATGATATGCGCATTAGTTATTTTGCGATTATTAGCTAACGAAATACGAATCTTAACGTTCCAATTACACATTTGACGTCACAGTGTCTACACAAAAGCGGACGGTGGAAATCGTTTGTTTTATGCTTCCAAGCAATATTTACCTAGGTCAGTTAAATGCGGCGATTTTACAAATATATTATGCAAATAACGATGGTTTGCGTAATCATAACCCGCAACATTATCGAGTTATAAAAGTATGTATTAACATTACACACAACAAAATTACACAGCAATCAAAGCTATCCTTTTCTCGTCGAATACATTATAAATTATAATCAACCAATGTCATTGTTGTAACGAGAAGACGGACAAAACCCAAAAGGTATTATAATCTCTCCCGAAATTGTATTATTTTTTTTAACGAATAAAAAATGTCATCGACTGTTCGCAAAAATTAATTTTCTATTCAATATACATATTTTAAAAATGATAAAATAATAACTACTACCAACGAAAATATAAAATATAGCAAGTTAATCACTTTTGTAGCAAGTGCACGTTTGTCACGTCTTATAAATTAATGATAATTCTTAACAATTATTATCATCATATATTGCAAAGTCGTAGGTAACATCGATGAAATAAACCCCAGACAACGTAGATCGCGCAAAGATAGCGACTTGTAGACTACATAATAGTATTATTATAACGGTTGGCGTTCCAGTTTTTATCAGTGTCCACTAAGCATTGCCCTCCGCTGAGTGTACGTATTTATACCCACACGTGTGCATATACATGTATTATAATGCAATATCGCATTGTACATACTAGTTACAACTCACAATACAAAGGTATGGCACAACTAACCTAACCTACTTGTAACGTGTGATCCGCGACAAGGGCATTGCGGCTGACTGTCCATTGTACAGTATTTATATTTTATTAATTGTTATCATTATTATTGTAGGTATATACCGTACTAACTACTAATGTCATAGCGGAGCCGAAGGTAAAATTTCCACCATAAACCAATTAGATATTATATCATGCCACAATAATTAGTGCGACACATTGTACACGTTGCTAAATGCTAAGTGAATACGGTAGGTACCCAATTATTAGGCTGATCCTAATAATTAAACGTCCAAAATGTTGGGTTTGTCGCACGCGCGTTTGTAATAATGTGGATAATAACGGAGTCAACGAACGCGATTTTAATATCAGTAAGTATAACGGCACGGTGTTTTTTTTTTTTTTTTTGTCATTGTACAGTGTACTATGTGTGTGGTACAATAAGCGGCATTACATTATTGTATTGCCCGCCATTAAGATCGGTTTGCTGACATAAAAATTAGTTTGCAAGGACGGCTAGCGGCTGTCGAAAGATTTTCCCGTGTCGGTCGATTGATATCAAGTATAATAATAATTAACACGCGCCGTTCGCTCAATAAAATGTGAAGTAAAAATTAGAAAATAACAAAGATCCCGTGTAATAAAAAAATATATAATTATTACTACCGATTTGTGTTCATATTATCGGTATTATTCTTTATAGAAAAGAACAAAATGGCGTTCACGCTGGCATCTGGAGTTCGGCAAAGAAAAGGTGCGGGCACCGCGAAAAAAAAAAAATCTCCTAGTCTGATGACACGTGTTTTGTATACAGCAGCATATCACCACTATCATGCATACACCGTGCTGTAGGTGAACCGTAGTTGTATCAGCTGTATTGTATAACATTATAATATTGTACCTATGATGGACGCACAGATATCGAATAAGACAGCCTTGAGTAGTACACTGTGCACAATGCCGCTGTGTCTGCGGACAAAATATATAACAAACCGACTGGGACTTACAAAGGAAAACGGAAGTAGAGTGTTAAAACAATGGCTTTCCGAACGGCCAGCAGAAAACTTTATCGTCCCGAGGTCGTGGATCGCCAGAAGACCTTCTCGTTGTAAGCATAAACTTAAGACGTATAATATTATGGGCCTTATTATTATTATTATTTATATATTGTACAGTTTTTGTGATTTTTTATACGATTATAAAACTCACACAGCACCAAAAGTTAGCGACGGTACGGCCAAAAAGAGGATTAGTCAAACCGCAATATTAATTACTAATAATAGTAGGTAAGTAAAACAAGGTGAAAATATTTTATTTCAGTCTGTGTTAGTATCGGGCAAATAGAAAAATGCACGAATCGTGGCGAGTATGTCGTACCATTTGCGATCGAACTAAAGTTCAGGGTCGACGTTGCGTCATTGACTATTATATTTTGTTTCATTATAATTTTTCCACATGAACAATTTGTTGCCAATTGTATAACAATCGTAACGGTATATTTTTCCCGACGACGTAGCTTAAACGTGATGTTATCTTATCACTAATCATTTTTAATTGCTATTTTCCCTTCCGCCTCTTTTTTCCGTACACCTTAACCCACCTAAAATAAATTAATATTATTACACTATCTACCAGGTGCGAACTGGGATAAAATATTAGCCTGAGTGATTATATATTGGGCTCAACTAATTACATAAAATCACATCTCCTCGGTTAAGAAGGTACCTACAAATAATTAGTTTCACGAGTACGAGTGGCTCAAAATCTTGACAATTCCGCGGACGACTACCCTTTTGTCCTTTGGCTCAACCCAGACAGCCACCATTATCTACTGAAAGTAGCATTTAAGTTCTCAAGGTATTTAAGTGTACAATTTTCAATACATTTTATCGAATAGTCTTTTATTAGGTAGGCAATACAAATTGTAGGTTAATAATGAAAATATATTCATTTACTTTCTTACAGCTAAAATAAATGTCAATTAAATACAACAGAAATAATTAAAATAATATCAATAAAGTATATGTTTGCTATTAATTGTAATACCTACTACATTCTACTATACAACAGTAGGTACCAACTACCTATTTGGCAAGGTGTACATAAATGTGTAATAATGATTCCAACAAAAACCATTACCTATTTTCATTTTACATATTGGACAACACATAAAAATATCCAACAACGCAAAAGTAAAAATTCTGTCACCTGGCAACCGAACTAGGCCCAAACATCAGCGGTCATAAGCGTCACACGATTCAAAAAGGGTGCTACCAAAATTCTAAGATTCTATGACAACTAGACACTGCATGCAAAATAGGACAGTTAATAACTAAGAATAATGAAAAAAAAACATAGTGAACAGCACGTAATACATTAACGGACGCTATGATAAAAAATAATTGAGATAAAAAACGAATTACTAATTAAGACTCCTCTCGGCAGTCAATATTAATAAAAGTACATTATAGTAAACATTTTAAATACAATTTCAACGGAAAATTGCCTATATCGATACGCTTAATATAAATGGTAGGAGTGACACGCGATCGAAAATAAATTGCCTTTTTTTCATTGGTAAGTATTATGTAAAAATAAAAATTTAATTATAGGTTATATCAGTACATATAAGCGTCTGTAACGAGTATAAATAAAAACGATCAGCGATTAATGACCATGGTAAGTGACCATGACGTTGCTTGTATGTCTCGAATAGGTTATGGTTAACCGCTCTAAATCATAATTCGCTGAAAAAAATTAATTAAAAAGTACCGTTAATTCGTATACATAACCTTACAACGGTTCACACGTGCCACAGGGTCGCCAAAATCTAATAAAAATGATGGCACCTATATGTTTCGGACGGCACCATCACCGAGTGGGAAGAATTCTTTCTTAAATTGAAATTGTTTAAAAAACATTTATACACTTATTTTATCGTAACGTAAATTTGTGTTCGGTAGTTAAATTAATGTAAATTAAAGTAGTAAAATATGACTCAAGAATACGGTTTTCTGTATTAAATTTTTAGATAGTCATTATAAGTAAAAAAATCAAACTTCCCAAGTATGAGAAACTCACAGGCTTAACTAACGAGTTGTTTTAATTTTACACAGGACGTTTTACCCCTATTATTAAGTAGTTAGGTATAGAGAATTGTTTGCATAATCTTATTTCAAAGCTCAAAAACTGTAATGTGTAATTATTGGGACTGATTTTGGTAATTAACTGATTTTTCGGACCATCACAGCATCCTTGACAGTGATTTTAAAAAAAATATTCATCTTAACATAGCTATACAGAATGCGTTTTACTCGATCCATGGTAATTTGAAAGCAAAAAAACCTATTATAATAACGATTAACGAACTATGATAACATTTTAGAAACAATGACATTTTTTTTCAATATGTTCATTATAAACTATAAAGCTCGATACTTTTATAAAACAGTGATGACTTTTTTCTGACAAATATTTTGAAAAAGAAATATGTCATTATCTCCAAAATTTTTTTTTTTTCATTTTTTTCATAGGTGTTTTGGTTATTAAACCATCATGGTCCGAGTAGTTTGCATTCTGCGTAGTCAGGTTTGTAATTTGGGGGTAACGCCCTCTTAAAATATTAATTTTATAATTTGCTCAGAACTAATCTATAAAATAGTATATTAATGTGCCATTTTAATATTAATACCTTAAGCACACAAGTGCTATGTCCATACAATATAACGTGGACATAGCACTTGTGTGCTTTATGGTATCGATATATTCTATTATATTATACTCAATAGGTATTTGTGCTGCGCTCTAGCTGCTCAATATGCATAATTCAAAACATACAACCTCCGACAGATGGAGGTCTATAATTACTACTACAACAATATATTGACTATTGGCCATTAATGATATTATTATGTAATTACAACATTTTTATCTCAAAACATTTGATTATTTATGAATACTAATGTTAGTAGTATCATATAAAATGATACTTATGTCTTACTATAGTTATTTAAGTTTTACCGGTTTAGGTTTTAATTTAGGGTCTAAATTTTATTATGGAAGTATTATTAAGGTTTTAGGCTCTTGCCTTATATTATGTTCTAATTCTAATGACGTGTATTTTATATAGCATTTTCATATGATTATTTTGTATTTTTAAAATCGTACAACGTCACTTCGTATACCTTGACCGTGGTACCTTACCTACGATAGTACCGATTACCTTAACCAGTAGCATGCCGAAGCCGGTGACGTCTTGATTGATTGAACTTCTTTTCATAAAATGTTATCAATGACCCGTTAATTTTCAACAAATCATTCGATTTACCTATATGTTTTTAAATACAATATAATTGGGACCATTGAACGGTTAACGACAGTAGAAAAACAGTTACTTATACAAGGCACTCGCTACTCTATTGCATTATTATTATTTTTCCTGTCTAATATACCTAATTGAATAAAGGTTTTTAGCCTGATTATTTTATCATCTGCTGTTGTATAGGTTGTAATAGAGAAACTCTACAGCTCTCTAGGATCTAGGTTGAAACAATCGCGTTACGACGCTTACAACAACACAAACAAACCACACCACAATAACAACAAGTACCCTACCTACCGATTAAACGGATCATGGAATCGAATCCACTGCTGGGATCCAAGGTCAGCTACCGTGGTACGAATTTATACTTAATTTTGTTTTTACCATCTTAAAAAATGCAAGATGTATATTATGTATGTTTATGATAATTGAGTCAACTATTCTACGCACACAAATCGAATCTGTTCAAATATAATATTATTTCATATATTTGTTTACTTGAAAACGACAGAAGAAGATGTCTGTAACTTTAGATGTAAAATCTAAACCGCCCTATTTTGATAGAAATAGTCCAATTTTGGAAATGTACAGAAAATAATATTATAAGCCAAAGTCATCAGTTTTTGTCTTCCAACTCTCGTGGAAAAATTGTAGTTCTGTTGTTAAGGTGTTTTGTTTTTACGACTACAAAGGGTAGGTAATTTACAAAACTTTACTTATTCTAGTAAGTATACATATATGTTTAGTGGTAAACCAGAAAATGTTAAATAATTGTATTTTTAATTTAAAATATGTAGTAAATAAAATATTTGCTATACAATTTTTATAACTACATTAAATAAATCGAGTATGCTTTTTCGATAATATTATGACAAATTATTATAAGACAACAACATGCGGTTGTCTTGAAGTTGTATTGTCAAAAAGGTAACATAGTTTCTTTTACAATTTCGCCGTTTCCGTGAAAAATAATAACAAACAAAAACTAATAAAGTGTATTGTATTTTAATGTTGTTTTTTTATTTCGTAACAACCTTGATCGTTTGCGCATTAATCAGCCGCCGCGGGAACAGTGTAGTTTTTACTGTGCAATAATTATTATTCTTTATAAAGTTCATTAGAATTAATAAACGTCTGAAACCTAACCGTTGACCCCAAGAGAAGTGATGAATCGGTTTCAACATAACAAAACCAACGAGGTCACCAATACAGGTATGCAAAATAAACTGTTCGTTTAGTGCTTATCATAAATAGTTTTTAAACAAATTTATTATAGCTGTAAATTTTAGTTATCGTATGCTAAACATAAAAGCAACATTTTTTTCTTTTAATTTTTAAATTGTTACTCCTGGACGTTGTATAATTAACTATAATATGCAAGCGTCACTAATTATTACACCAATACTAATAATCAAAAAATAATGATAATAGAGTTGACCTGAGTTACCAATATTAAAAGATTATTTGTTCGGTGTTACTTATTTAAACAGCCTCATATAAAATACTTATTTTATTAACAAAATGTGACTGTAGATGATACTCATTTGTCAGGTTATTGTTATCATTTATAACAAATCGTTGTACGATACGGTTAAACGGATATTTTTTCTTTGAGAGTTGTTTTAATTTTTTTACAGATTAAAAACACATTAAAATAATACATTTAATTGACACTAATAAATAAATCTCGACCAAACAAGGTCAAACAAACAAACAAATAATACTCCAGCATATTATACATATATTTTTAACATTCTTGGTGAGTTATCACTGTAAAATAATGGGCGTTCAAATTATAATACAACCAAATCTCATGATAGTTTTTGGATACAAAGAGGTTCCTCTTTTACATAATATGATTTTATATAATATAATTTGTAATTTACATTGGGTTACAGTTTCAAGGCATATCCTTAACGCGCTTTGTCTTACTAAATACTGAAAGGCAAGTTTATTTGTTTATCTTCTTATTATAATTAATATACTTATTATATACATATATGCTTATTTCTCTCTCTCTCTCTCTCTCTCTCTATTTTTAAATTATATTAAGCACTTATTTTGTTTATTTTTGTTTAGAAGTAGAATAATTACTTGTACAAAATATGTTACTAGTTATATGACAAGATAATGAAAAATGTACGTTTGGTCAAAGTAATTTGTTTTTAGAACAAACGCAACCGAATAAGTTAATAACATGTTAATATTATCAATTATGATATTGTCGAAGTCGTTAGTCAATTGATTGTTGTTACCTATAACATACTTCAATTTAAGAATCAGTTGTTTTTACTGATATCACGACTCATCGCAGAGTTCAACATTGCAGTGAACAAACAGCTTCTCACACTAAATACAATTAAATAACATATGGAATACTTGTGTATGTTTATATTATGTAGATTATAATATAATCTATATTGAATTTCCTTTTGTCTTATGGTTACAATGGTGTATGTCATACTGACCACATTCCAAAACTTCTTAGCGACAATGGCTCATTTCATTAATAGAGAGAGGGTAAGATTCGAAAATATTAAGACCTCCAGTCTATACAATTTAAGGTTAGGGATGTAAGTAATTTTGAGGTGCTAATCACAATCAAGCCCACCCCCTCCCCCTCAAATCGCGCCAACGCTGAGTGTACCTAACTTTTCTACCCTCAAAAGAATTAAAACATAATATTGAGAAACACTACACCCACAAAAAATTATTTATTTGAAAGTATGGCTAAAACAACTAATTATTTGTTTTGATTCTATAAATTAAAATTGTATTCATAATAATAATACAGGTTCTTATTGTTAATCATCATCATTATGTAGCTTAAGAGGCCTTGAAGGTCCAACGTTGCCATCATGAGATATCCACGTCGTATTATTAATTAATAGGTATATTTAAATGAATTAACAATGTTGGCTGACCTTAAAACAAAAAGTAATCAAAGTATCAAAAACAAAGTAATTGAAAAAGTAAATGGGGGTGTGGGGTGGGGGGCTAGACATCTATAGTCAGTGTTAACATAATATTTCATCTCTACTAAATGCAAAATTATAACTAAACGCGTTTACCACGGTAAGCATTTTATTCTTTATAAAAAAGGATGTTTTTTTCTAACTTTGTCATCATATTGTGCGAAATATATCCTGAAAGATAAGCCTTACTTTAAATGAACCTCACACGTGCGTAGCATATTACTATCACCGCATTGACCACATGTGCGACTAAAATATAATTAAGTATAATATCAGACTCTGTAAACACATGTTTAGTGTATACTCTCATGAGTATCCCGAATAGAAACATACAGAAACTCTTTTACAACACAGTCTATTTATCTTAATAAAATATTGAGAATTAAAAAATCAGAAATCATTAAAATGATGCTGTCTAAACGTTTAAATACGATACTTGCAAATTCGTCTCAGTCATTGTATTAATGTAAGGATGAAAAAAAGCAAAATCAATTAAAATAAAAAAAATGATAAACTTCTACGATTAAGTCATTAACAATAAACTCAAGAATCAGCGTTTTACAGTTGACCAATGAAGCCTAATGTGTAAAGTCAAAACGTCAAACCGCGATATTTTTATTTACATAATATTCATATAATATTGTTTTACTGGCAGACTACTAGTATTGTATTTAAATTATTTTATCGATCAATCCATAAAATAAACAAGATGGCACTTGGTGTATGTGAAAACTCAAACAATGAGTGGGAAGGTGGAGAAACTGTTCCACATATGTATATAAACAAAAAATCCCTAGTGCTTACTTTCAATTTTTAGGTTTGATTCGCCTGTGGTACAAAAATCAATATGGAAAATATAAGTCGTTTGCTGGGTGCACAATAACCTAAAGCGAAAATACACACAAGTGTATTTATAATATGTGATGCGATAAATGAAAAGTGAACTCTCGTTAAGTTGATTTTGAGAAAAACTCTCTCAAGCTAATCCCATTCGCAAACTTCCGAGGGCAATAACTTAGGTCTTGGAAATTTTTATATTTCTGATTGTCAGATATTAAAATTTAATAAAATACATTACTAATGGACTTTTTTTCGGATTAAGATTGAGTAGCTTTACGAGACGACAACCTTAAAAATAATGGCCAGTTTATAAAAAAATAATTGTGAACTCTATAATATCATCAATTTTGTAGTTATTTATACTGTGGATAAATTTAATAAACGAGTGATATTATATTATAAAAATATATAATTTAACTCATCCAACTCGTATGTACTCATGTAATTACATTAGTAACTATGTACGTTTTTAAAATACCCAACTATAAACCCTATGAGTTTATAAAATTTGTTTTTTAATTTAATTTAAATTAAAAATTAAAGTTAAAATAAATTAAATTTTAATTCTTTTTTTTAAATTATTAAATCATTTTAATTTATTAATTTATTTTATTTTATTACATATATATTTTTTTTTTGTAAAAAACGTCTATTTTAACAATTTAATTAAAAAATAGTATACATTAGTAGCGTAACATTTTTCACCGAAGAAAAATCAAAAAGCTCCTGTGCTCGCATAATAATGATGAAATGTTTAATTTTTATCAAGTAAAAATATTATATGGCCAGAAAGAGTTGAAATGAGAGTTTCCAAAACAGATAACCTTTTGACGTGCGCCGTCACGTGTGTACTAGCTGCTAGACATACTTCTTATTAAAGACCATACCTATTCGAATCTAAGCGTGATCTCTAAAACTACAAACTGCTGCATCGATCACTTATACAAAAAACCATGTTTCTGTACAAAAACACGAATCGTGGTACCCAATTGTCATAATAATTAACACTTATTCACAGTTTTAATGACTTTTTTTGGGTCACAATTACAATGAGCCGAAAGTTTAAAAAAACAATTACATAATTAAAAAAAATTATAAAAACAGATATGGGTTTTTTGGAAAACTAGATAAGCGATGTGCCCTACATTGAGTTGGGTATCTATTTTTTGACGGATTAATTAATTTTGTTGAATTCATCCGTTAACCTATGTATACAAAAGAATGATAATAATTTAGTAAATTTATTATTCATCCATATCCAAGATAATTAACATTTTGGACATCATTTTTTGTTTTCGCTTAGGTATAACATATTATAATTGCACGCGAGTTACTGAGAAACGATAAAATACAAACTCATTGGACATTGAATACATAAAAGTTTGTTTAACTAACGAGGCAAAGAGAGACAGTGGGGAAAAAACATTGGCCGTAGACGCCCTTTGTACGCGATAACGCCCTTTAGTTAAATACCATCGATTATTCGGACTAACCAATAGCATTTCCAGAATGTTTTTGAGTTAACAAAGTAAAATTGTAATACGAGTGCGATTTGTACTGTATAGTTATGGGAACATAAAAAAACGAAACGAAACGAAAACTATAAGGTAGTCTTAGATAATGAAATTAAAATAATCCCATAATATAACTCAATGTAATCAAAAAAAATGTTTAACTATCGTTTTTGCAAGTTTAGCTTAAAAATCAAACATAATTAAACAATACTAAAATAAATTATAGGCTAAACCAAACTCGTGAGAACGGTCATTGAGTACTACTTCGAAACGTCGTGGAAAAAATGTCTCAGGAGTTGCAATTTTCTAAGGACTTAAGCCGTTTTAAAGATAAAGTATATCATTACAATGTACAACTTTAACCGTCAAGACTTAAGACGATAATGAATTACTATACACAACTTACAACTTTAACAATTGAAAAAATGTGCATTCTCCCTTAATAACATAACAATCACTGGATTGTAAACATACATATTTAATGAATATTACACAACACTTATTATAAACGCATAAGTTTATCATACATTCTAATATACAATTTTGAACGATCGATGAGAAAATGTTTAATTATAATATTGTAAGACATCCAGCAAAATATGAGGAAATAGAAATAAAATCTAAGAAAATTACTATTACTTCTGATAAAAAAAAAGTGTACAAATTTTCACTCTGTACATTTAAAGTGTATACAAATATTAAAAATCGCAATAAGTAACACTTATACAATTATTGTACAATAAATATTTTATTTATAATAGTGTTTTTCGGATTCTTAAAAAACTCGTATATACACATTAAATCTATTTACAGTCTAATTTTTTAGATCTTAATTACGTCTTAAAAAGCAAAATAAACAAAACCCACCACTTTTAGGGTAAAGAGGCAATGAATAGTTTTATTTTGCATGTAAGTACTGTTAAATCTTAACTCTTAAGGATATCCCACGAAATGTTGGAGCTAATTCGACTGTTTTTCAAAAGTTACAGCTAACCATTTTTCAAGTTGAACAAATGTATAGTTTTGCGTTTTTCTCGAATGAGAATATTGCGTACACTTTTTTTCTTAGAACCATATTATTATTATTATATATAAATCAACAAGAGATAATAATATGCAACACGGGCTGAAGGGGAGAAACTAAATTGGCACGAATCGACGAAATGCCCACGCTTCACAAATGCTGCCCGTGCCGGCGCGTCGTGTCGTTGGCACGTGCACGATTGGGGACGAGGAGGAAGCGTGGCCGGGAATGGTGATTTTCAATTTTTTGTTTTGATTTTTCACTGCTGCAGGTGTAGAGCAGTTACTATGGCGAGAGTCGACGGCGACCATAGAGCCGTGGCCGCGCCGCGGGGTTTAGAATTTCAGCGCGCACCACGCGGCAACGTCGCAGTCGGACGGCTAGCCGCCGCGTACGGTGCCAACAGCGGTAACCTAGGTAACGGGATCGGCGGGCACGCCGCCACTCGAGGGATTCTGATAGCGGACATAATAATACTTTGTTTTTGTTATTGTTTCCTTACCTCGGAAACGTGTCTGGCCCGGGCCCAGTGGCCGCGGTTCGTGTAGTTCTCTTTGGTGACGAAATAATCCATAAAGTTGTTCATTTTTCCCGTCGAAGGCGGCTCGACAAGGGCTGTTCAGGCGCCGGGGGGTTATTTTTGGACGCTTACGACTTACGACAATACCGACGATTTGCGTCCGTAGGCCATGACATCATGTTTCTCGAACAAGAGTACACGCAAGTCACCACGACGCGACACAACGAAACGCTCTTCAGAAAAACACTACCGGACACGCATAATAATAATTATTTATAATAAATAATAATACTATTATTATACCAATTTGTATTATAGAAAACACGATTCGTCACCGATATTGATTACACGCTGTTCGGTCGACAGTAATACGATAAACGTGTCTGATAATATTTTTATTCGAACGGAGTTTTGGAGAGAAAAAACAATATTTAAACGACAATCGTCCGTAGACCTACGTATATAAAATGTAACCGAGAAAATATGATACTTTACATTAAAAAATACATAGAAATTCGTACGAATATTGTATTATGTTCAGTAGAGAAAAAATTTAATCTTTTCGTCGGGAGCGTTATAAATATTAAATATATTAAAATATACGTAGTTATAAATATAAAAAGTTGAATATAATTTTTTTACAAATAAATAGTATTCGGGATTTTTATTAAATTAAAAACCGATCGGAGCAAACGAACGTCCGACACTCGCAGAGTGACCGGTGTCCGCCGCGGCCACCGCCGTCGCGTGTTATCTCGGAAGTAGACTGTCGGTGAGCGTCGCCGACGACGTCGGCGGTGACGGCGGCGCGGCGGTTCCCTCTTCGGTGCCAGCGGCCCGTGGTGTAGTGGCGCGGTGCCCGAATTGTAGTATTAAAAATTTTTCTGTGTACGCTATGTATATAATATTTATTTATAATACAACAATGTATATATATTGTGTGTGTGTGCGTTTTATATTCGCGTCCCGGCAGTGCGTTTCGCGCCTAGCCCGGTACGTTCACGTTTGCGGTGTGTGTTTGTGTGTGTGTTTGCATATTATGCCGGTGCGTGCGTATTATCCGCAGCGCGCGCTCTCGAACTGGCTCTCTCTACCGGCGGGGTCAAACTCCCGAACTGAGCGCGCCCGCGCACGTGCAGCCTATATGAAATATAATAAATTATACATATAAATATATATATATATATATGTATTTTAAGAGCTACTAATGCATTATTATTATTATAACGTACTGTATAATAATAATACGCTAGTCTTTTACGCAAAATAAACGGTACCTACGATATATTTCGCTTTAATCAGTAATCTCCAAACCAATGTCGATATCCGTTTAAACACAGCCTGAGTTCTACGCGTTTATTTAAACGACACAACTGATGGCGATTCCGCCGGATCAATGACAACAGCGGTGGCCTCTTGTGTATAGTGTCCCGCCAACAGTCACGCGGTACATGTGACTGCTCAGCATTTGTAGCTCACGAGCTGCATACATACACATAATATAGTATGCTAAGCGTTTTGTGAATCAAGAGCGCGTGCACCGTAGAGTGTTGTGGGGCGAGAGCCGAGGGAATGGGAAGAGGAGTCTGCGTAACCGACAGAAACGAGTGGAAACGTTACATAACGGTGTGTTGTTGAACATTTGTAAATCGCGTCTGTTGTTTTCGTCCGGACAACAACAACAATAACAACCGCGCGTTATTCGTGATTTTTACTTGGCACGTTACCGCCATCATTACACGTTGTCCTAATGCGCGCGATGTCCGAGAACGTCTACAGCAAGTTTTATAATATAATATTGTTTTAGTGTGATCAAATCGAATTCAAATAAACTCTTCCACGCGAATCTGTGGGTGATACATATATCGATAAAATTATTGTAAAATTACTGTAATTATTGTGTGTCTTGAAATCTATTATTGTACCTACCTCTTGTTAAGGATAGGTCGCAATTCACTGTAAAATGAAAAATTACTGAATGAATGAAATCGAGTTTTAACGAGTAAATTAATTTAGTAAATTATAGGCCTGTGCTAAAAAGTACTACATCAAAATGTATGCATAATACAAATAAAATGTCCAAAACTTGACTCTTAGGTAAAATATTAAATCTCAAGGTTGTTTCATATCGATATCATACGGTGTATAATTTACACTGCAAATAAAAGTATTTACAGTAGTCGCCTACATTAACAGGAGGTTAGGTCAGGTCACAACTTTTGACCCCTAGCCATTTTTAGGTAGCGTAGTGATAACAGTATTACTAATGATAAATAGTATTACTAAGGAGAATGACAAAAAGAAGAATATTTGATAGGAAATAAATCAAATTTAGGACATGAGATGATAAGTATAAACAATTGGTTTCTACTGATGAGATACAATAGAGATCGTTTATTCTACATATTTATTATTTCAATGTAAGGAAATTATTGAATTGTTTATTTCATTTTTTTAACTCCCTCTCAGTTATACTATATCATTGCAATAAAATTGCTATCAAACACTATTTAAGACAAACGATCACGCTCAATGAATGTTTAATAAAAACTATTTCGCGAGTGGATTAAGTGGACACCACTCATGACAATTTTTAAAGGGTTAAGGCCAATGTTCATGTTTTATAATCTATACTTATTAGTACAGAATTGAAGGTCCTTAAGTTTTATTTTTTTTTTTTACTTTATTAGATTATCACAACCTACCTTATACACGTTTTACTCAAATATAGCCTTTCGCATTATAATTACAACTTTACTCAAAATGAGACAGAAAATAAATAAAAAATAATAGAAAACTCAAATTGGGTTTTGTCGAAGAGTCTTTTTCGAGAGTTGAAATTCAAATTATCGTGCTAGTTTTCCAAAAAACTTTTTTTTCTTCATTTTTTAACCAGAGTTAAAAAAAATTAAACTAAAAATAAGCTTTTCGAGGCATATCATAAGTCTTAGTCTTTATATTAATGTCAATATAATTGTTATGTAATAAATATGTCCTGAGACGTTTACAGAATGCTACACCTTGTTTTTAAAGAGTGGTGTCTTCTTAAGTGTGTAGTAAAATAACGCTTAAGGAATTAATATCCAATTTTCCTTTATTAATTCTGCCTGTTTAGTATTGTTCAGTGTTCTTCTTTATCAACTCACTAGGGGCCAGCGCTATAGTTGACTTGAACCTTTTTATTTTTCTCTGTCCAGCATTTCAACTTGTATTGTTTGGTCTACTGTTACTCTTATATCTTCCATTACAGTATCCAATCACCTGTGTCTTAAGTCTTTGCTTTTGCGATTTAACCAATAACGTAACTTCATTGAACTTTTTGTCTGCTCGCCAGACTTGTCCTCGCCATTCAATTATACTTTTTTGTTACACAAGCTTCACGTTTGCATTAATCTGAGCCTAGATGTACAAATACCTCTCTAAACAGACATTAGAAATAATACAAAATCGTTTTCAATTTTAGACACTGCATTAGTGTACGAATAACAATAATTATAAGAGTAATCGCATAGTTAATGATTCTCTTCTTTAAGTACCTAATTCAGATAATTGCTAGTTATTTACTGCTTGGCGTTTAAATTTCCTCGTCAGTCGGGCATGATTGTAAGAACCACGAAAACAATATTATTAGCAATGTATTGCCAATTTTGTGAGATTATATTTACAACACTGATGGTTCTAAAAAATATATTGGTATACGAGTCGCAGTATTGCGGATTAATCCTATCTTTATTATAGCAGCGTGTATTGTTCCAACAGATGGCGCTGGATGTAATGCCGAAACTTTGTCTGAAGATTCACTTCATTATTTTATAGAAGTTGGGCATTTCGTCAAACAATAGTCAACATTATGTATTGAAAAAATACCACGGTTTATTATTTTTCACACTTGGCGAGTAATTCACAAAATGGTTAATTTAATTGTATACACAGCAAGTATTATTATGAGTTCGATTTTTTAGATCCGAAGCCCAACTATAGAAATTGAATATTTAAGAATTATAAAAACTTGTCTCGAACCCGTTCATAACCGAGGACTGGTGTTTAGATTGAAATTATCATTATAATATACTGAAATAGTTATCAATATCAAAGTACAATGCGATTTACAGTTCACTCGAGCAACCATAAGTATTTATCACGTGCAACGAAGTTTCAGAACATTATCTAATATAGTTCATTCATTGCTGAGCTTTAAAGTTGTACATCATAAATAAATAAATAAATAAAAAGTTGAAACATATTTTTAATTAAAAAATAAAAATTAATAATCAAGAAAGTCTACATGCCGACACCGACTTGGCAAGCATTTTTCCAGGTTATTGTGTAAGTGGTTTTATTGAAAAACTGTTTCATTAACTCAAAAAAGACAAACAAGTGAATAACTAAACATTTTAGAAATCAAAATAGGATTTAAACACATTTTAATGGGAATACCAAAAATCGATTCCCACAATGACCTGGAAAAAACGAGCAATAAACTCAAATTATGTAATGATTTTTATTGATTGAAATCGGATCATATCCTAAGTGGGTGGAAATTTGTCAGGCTGTTAGGTCTAATACGTGTAAAAAACAGACCGCTTTCAATCTCCTTGACAACATGATGGCAACTACATTAATGGGAGTATACTTAACCACACGCCGTCACTACACTACACAGAAATAGGGGGTTAATATTATACTGGGGTAAGTTAGTAAGTATTACAATACAGGCGCCATTAAACATTTTGTTTTTAGTCTATGAAGAAATATTTAACATTCTTTAACGAAAAAACAAGAAATACCATAGTTCAAACCTAATAAAACCCAAAGAATAATACCTACCGGTTAGAAAACTTTTGAATTTTATTATAGCAAAATATGTTTTCTAATTGAGGACTAGCACTGCTCTGTGCTTAAAGACCACATTGTTTTGAAATCTGTCATACATTTTATATACATTTTCATTGGCGTTTTTTGCTTTAGTAATTTTAAATTGTATTTACACTAATACCTTATTAATTCGGAAAGTTTAATAATCGGGAGTCGTAGATAAGTACTATTGCGTTGACAATTGTTTAGAGCTTATACAATTATTATTAATGTGCCTTGTGTGTATAATGTGTAATGTTTTTTTGTTTAAGTTTATAGAATTGTATAACTGCATTTGTATTAACGCACTAAACGTATTCTGAAGCGACTTTCATTATGTATGTGCATACCAACCGTTTTAGTTTTACAACGGTAGAATAAATAATAATAATTAATTAATGCTTCAACGCTGCACCGAAATATTGTTCTTGTTTATACATACTTGGCGATGATGAATATAACACATACCTAAGACTACAAATCTTTAATATAGCAATAATAGCTGAAAACTAATACAATGTCAACGTTTAATAATTATTTATACTTATATGAATTCAGTACAGTAAAAGTTAGCAAAATGGGGTCAACACAATATTATTAAATTTTAAAGTGTTTTTCATACAATCAAACGCCTCGATGCGAACCATTCGCATACCTTGCAAATGGTTTGGGCTATCATTGGTTTGATCCGTGATGGATTCTTGCTGTTTGCATCGAAGCGTTTCATTCGTCATTGTGATGAAATAGTGCAGAAAAGGAAAATGTATTTAATTGTTTTGACCTAACTTTGCCAACTTCTTCTGTGCTGATTTACACACTACTGGTTTAGACTATGCTGGTTAGTGGTTTGATCTGTGCCGGTTTAGACTGTGCTCGGTTTCAATAATCTTGTTTTATGTTTCACTTTTTCCTTAG